AGGGTCTTGATGTGCCAATGAAACGGTATTGGAGACTGATAATTTAATGGCATCTAAAGCCTCTTGCGCTGGTGTAGGTAACGCAATAACCTTAGGGTTACCTCTGAGCAGGTCTGTAATTGGACGAACTATTCGGGCGCATTGTGGGATGAACCTATGATAGTAGTTTATCATTCCTGGGAAACGACGAAGTTCAGTAGCTACCTTGGGTGGAGGAAAATCGCGAATTGCTGCGATTTTGTCCTCGACTGGACGGAATCCTTGATGATCAATATGGTGACGTAGAAAAACTAAGGATTCGCAACCTAACTCGCACTTAGCGGCCTTAACTGTAATACCGTGTTGTTACAGATGTTGACAAAGTGTGCGTAAGTGTGCTTCGTGCTCGGCGGCGTCCTTACTTGCAACAAGTATGTCGTCTAAATACGGAAAAACGAAATCTTACCCGTAAAGGACCTCGTCGATGAAACGTTGGAACGTCTGTGCAGCGTTGCGTAGTCCGAACGGCATTCGAAGGAATTCGAAAAGGCCGAATGGAGCGATAACAGCGGTCTTAGGGACGTCCGCTGGGTCGACAGAGATTTGGTTATAAGCCCTGACTAAATCAATCTTACTAAAAATTGACTTACCCTTAAGTCTAGCTGTTAAATCGTGGATGTGGGGTATTGTATATCGATCTGGGGTGTGGGAACTATTGAGTCCACGCTAATCCTCACGTGGGTGCCATTCTCCGGCAGCCTTCTTAGGCACCATATGGAGTGGCGACGCCTTTGCAAGGGCGTATGATACCCGCCTTAAGCATAGTGTTGATTTCGCGTTTGGCTAAAGCCAACTTATCCGGAGCTAAACGACGGGCGCGGCAATGTACGAGTGGGCCGCGTGTGACGATTGTATGGGTGACCGGTGTGGTAACCGGTGGCAAAATTGTAGAAACTAAATGAGAACAAGCTTCTAACAAACGTTACAACCCAAAATGTAGGCCAATGCTTAAGACGGGGCTTATCGCCGCTGCGTCAGTTGCTGACCCTTTTACAGAGTTGGTGCTATCGAGGAGCAAGCGTTTGCCTGTGCCGACAGTGAGGCTGTCATGTGCTAGGAAACCCATTCCAAGAATAGGCAAAGGAACTTCTGCAATCAAGAATGGCCATTCAAATGCTTTTGAGAGGTTAAAGTCTACTCTAAGGTTCCTGGTACCAAATGTACGTACTGTGGAACCGTTGACCGCAGTCAAGGTTAGTGCTTGAGCTGGGAGCCTAGCTTCAGTGGTGGAAGGAGGAATGACGCTCACTTCCGCACCGGTGTCGATTAAACAATACACACCACTAATGGCGTCCCTAACGTGAAAAACCCGGCTCCTAGTTCGTGCGCTAACGGTTGACGCCGTAATCAGACGTCGTCCTAGTCTTGTCCCGAAACGGGTTGACCTTTCCACGCTCACGGGTGGATGCATTTGGCGGCATCCTTACCAAAGCGTGCGTGATACCAACAATATTATTGGGCGACTTGAACCTACGGCGAGCGCTGGATTGAGGTTTTCAACCAAACCGTGCGCCTCTTGACTGTCTATCCTGGCTAAAATTGCTTAGCTTTTCTATGATAGCCTGGAGAAAGCCTTCGACAGAAGTGGCTGGAGGAACTGTGAGGGTAACTACTGCGACCGAGGGTTGACAGCATTGCACGGCATGATCTACAACTACCGTTAAACGCTCTATAGATATGTCTCGCGCTGGCGCAAGAAAGAACTGGACGTCCTGTGGTAACTTTTGTAACCACAGATACCTAACAAACGCATCGTCCTGAGGGATATGTACTGTAAAGTTGCGAGAGCTTCCGGTCGACAAAGGCATGTCCTGCAGTACGCGTCGGATTCGCTCTTTCCTAGAACACCCCGTGCGTTCAAAAATTGCGTCCCTTACGGCATCAAACGGCCTTTCAACGGGAGGTTCTAAAACTACATCTAAAAGCTCGGCCACCAGGTGCTCGGGCAAAGAGGAAACCACGTACAGGAACTTAGTCTTTGAAGACTTACCAATCCTGGTGGCACATTTGAAAATCAGGTTCCTACAATCTTTGTACTATTACTTTTTGCTCTCCACTTTTCACGTTTCATATTGTTGTACATTTTGATCATGCGCATTGGCATGCTTCGCGGGCTTCGCGAAATATACCTTTATTATTATTATAATTCTTATTATTATTATTATTAGATACGGACGACCAGATATGACGAAGAGACAGCATGGAGCCCGTCAATGCAAAGCGTGCACGAGGCAAAGGATCTAGGTATAGGCTTCAGGCAGGATTTCAAACCCAGCGCACAATGTGAGAAGGCCGCAAACAAAGCCAGGGGATAACTGTTTCGTCTATGCGCAACGATGACATGCAGAAAAAAAGAGGCCTTTGCCCCCTATACAAAAGCATCTTCCACCCGCACCTGAAGTATTGTGTGCAGGCTTGGGCTCCGTTCTTTCGGAAGGATGTCTATACCTTAGAGATGGTTCAATGTCTAGCCACGAGAATGATAGCTAGGCAACGGGGGAAAAGCTAGGAACAGGGGCTTATAGATTTAAATCTGTTCTCCCTCACACGGAGGCTGTTGAGAGGAGACCTGATCGAAACATTTAGGATCGTCAAGGGTATGTCATGTCTCAGGTTTGACGACCTGTTCTCCTGGGCTCCGCAGAGAGACACGCGGGGACAACTTACGACTGCAGCGAAGCTTTAGTGAATCGATGGTTGCTGATGGTCGTCAGAACCTGTCAATAATGTTTGCTCACGTTCGTTTTGAGTATTCGTCTCAAGAGGAAACAAAACCAAAGATTGCGTTTGTGGAAAACGATATATTCTTACTATTCCGAAAGGTTGGAAGTAGGTTTGGCTAGGCCTAGGCTGTTATTTAAGCAACGGCAGCAGAAACCTGAAAGTAGATCTGATCAACGCAAAGAAAGCGTGCGATACAGAGCTCACCGTGGGGAATTGTGTCGGTGCACGCTTTTCGAATTCATTAAAAGAACGATCATAGTTAAAGCAAAACTTAATCCTGGAAATGTCCAAGTTGCTATATCCAATAGAGAAACTTTCCTCAGAGGATAGGTATCACCAACTAATGGCGATAAATGCTAAATCTTGACGGTACACTTGATTGTGTCCGGTGGATAAGGGTCCTTAAGGAAGAAGAGAAAAGCCTGACGGTAGTTTAGCTACCTGATGGATAAGCTATGTCGCTACTTGATTTCTGAACCGTGATGGTTCTGATAGGTATGCTATAGTTATGTACCATGCCTTGATAGTCCTCAATCAAACAGGACTGGTTAGAAACTGAACCTATCCTGCTGCTAGTCACCAGCGTGGGGTGAAAGTACTTCTGGTACGTGATTTGATGATCACGTCCAGCTTGAATGGATCTATCAAGAAACTTAGAGAAAACAAGAGGTAAGAAGAGAAAACTGCCTTTGCGCAACTGTCGGTTGAGGAACCGCTAAAATGCCACTGCAGACTACAACTGAGAGCAACGTTTTTCACTAATTGGTTAATTCCGTTATGGAACCGGTTGCCGCTGTCAGTGGTAAGCTGTGGTCCTGTAAGGTCTTTTGAAAGGGTGCTTGATGAGTCTTCGATAGCGGTTTCCCCTGAGGTAAACGTTGAGTACCACCTATAACCTAACAATAAGTGATGTGATACTGCATCACATATTTCTGCCTTTCAGATAAATTGCATATCAGTTTCTTGCAAGTCATGGAAACTCATCGACAACACACAAATCTGGACGCCCGACTGGCAAGAGCCACATATTCGTTTTTTGAGAACTGAACTGAACTGAACTTTTGCGGTATCAAGGGGGCATCATTCGAAGTTAATGAATCCCAGGTACGGACTTAGGTACAACTTCTTCACGAGTAGAGTGATAGATGAGTGGAATCAGCTACGATCTTCACTAGAAGACTGTAGGACAGTCGACGAGTTCAAAAGGCAGCTAGATGGGGTCTGTACGAGCCTGTATCCAGAGATCTTGTGGGTACGTTCTATTGAGAGCAGGTGTCTATGCTGCCCTTTTTCAAATAACCTCCCTTTACAGGTACGGACGCGCCAAGGGAGACAGCTGTAAACGAAGAAATGAGCTGTGATCAAACGTTCGACAAGAAGTCGAAGCTCCGGAAGACGTGTTTCCGACTGGAGCAAGAATATGGACGCTCGATAGGCGAAAGCCTTTACTGTCCTGTGCAACCTGACCTGACCAGACCGTTGCGCGTCTTCGTGAACGAAATAAAACAATTGTTCCAGCGCCATGGTGCTCCAAAGCTAATTGATGCAATAAACTGGACTCCCTCTGGCTCTGCTGCAAGTTCTTTGGCCTGGTCTGTCCTGTCTTAAATTTGTTTTATTTCTTAGCTTTATTGTTGACCTGTGCATCAGTTATTTGTCACACTTTGAAATGCTGACCTTGAAGGATCATTTCTCTGCTGTCGATGGGGTAAGCCATTTTAGGTAATACATTTTCAGGATGAGCGGTTAAAAGTTTTAGAAGAGCGATCAAAGAGAATCATAGAAGATAAAAGGCGCCAACACAAAGAGTTTCTAAAAACTGAAAAGGAACGTGCAAATTTTTATGTTAATTTCTTGGGTAATGTTACAACAAAAGTGTTTACTGAAGTAGGTGTGACATCACTAATAGCATGCTCTAAAGAGACTCACAGATCGTCTTGAATATGAAAGCTTGCGGATGCATGATTCATCTATATCCCTGAAACCGAAAATATATCAACCTGTGCCGGACTGCTTTACTAGTAGTTCCTCCGAATCGGGTAAAAAGCCCCCTCAGTTGAAAGGTGTGTCGTGGTCCGAAACTATTTAGATGTCTACAAATCTATTTAACAGGACGAATAGTGCTTCAAGTTGACCCGAAATTTTATTCTCTGAAGGTGAGTTTAAATAATGTTTTTGTTTTAATACTTTGAATTACCAAAAGCTTCAGTTTATTCTGCGAAAACCCAGTATTTATATTTATCTCTCTTTTCATCATAAGATAAATGTCTTAGTATTGAGACTTGCAATCATTAGTGCTTGCACTGGTTGATGGGACGAGGGCGGATAACGCTTATTTGAATACCGGTGTCGAGTAGAAAATTTGTGTGAGCGACCCTGTCTGTTACGTTAAATAGATGACTTGGTTTAGCTGAGTCTGACATGGTTAACTTTAGTATATTCCTGCTGCGATGATCTGTAAGTGCCAGGTTTATTGCAGCTTCGGGCTACGTCACGATATTGGCGATGGTACCAGCAAACGTCCGAAGAGGTTTTTGTGACCTGGAACGTCCTTGACGGCTATGGCATAGCGAACGGGAGGAGGAACGGAGGCGGGAGCTAGAACGGTCGCGGTAAACTTTGAGGGCCACTGTCTGTGTCATCAACCGGTCTAATCGCCTATCCATGTGGTTATTTACCTCCTGCCACAAATAATTCCCTGACTCTGGGGGTATGCGAGTAGCTGGTGGGGCTGATTAGGTGTGTGCACAAACACCATCAGTTGCTTTTGTTATGTAGTCTGGCTTAGACTTACTCTCGAAGTATCCAAGAATCCAGGACATAATCTGTAAGCTATGGCATCCAAGAACTGCGTAGTACGTTTTCGCTTACGTTCAAGCTGGAAGCCTGACTCCTCATGTAGCTGAGTAGCTGTGTAGGAGCATGCAACCCGTTATATCTTAAGAGGATTTCATGCAGCAGCTGCTTGAGATGATTGTCATCCGTCATGCTGAAGCGACTAATGAACGCATCTTTTAATGCATCGTAAGGCCTATCGGGCAGGGAATTGCAGACCACGTCCCTTAAGCCGGGCCTCACGGAGCGTGGGACGTCCCACAATTTGAGTAAAGCTGTTGACTTGATTTGCCACCACGACGAGTCATAAATGAGTTTCGACCCGAGTGACTGGAACTGTTGGTCTTCGGAGATGAAGTCGAGCATTCTAGCTAATCAACTATTCACGCATGGGCAATCACAGTGGTTATCTTTGAATTCTGCGCTGATGTGATCGTCGTTGCCTGAGGTTTGCATTATTTAGGAGAATGGTGAGTACATGACCAAATTCAGAGTAAATTTACGCAAAGAAAATAAAAGATGGAAAATGAACCTACAATTGTACCAATGATCAAATGAAAACGGATTTATCAAAAGGAATTTTCTAACGGCAATAACAAAAATAAATGTGCGATAACTGAGAAAAAGTAATCTTTCACGTTGGGTTCACAAATTTGGTGTCTAGACTGATGATTTAGACGAATTCTTGCAATCAAAGGGAGAACAACTGATATCACGAAGCCTCGATAACTGTTATATTGGAACAAGTTGTAGAGCAGAGAGAGAAACGTGCACGGGGATTAAGCGTGCAGAAAGTGAAATTTAATTTAGCTTGCCCAACTTGGTGGCCTTGATCCGGTAAAACAAAAAGGTCCAAATATTGGAGAGGCACATGTGCGAAAAGGGTTGACATTGTCATTACATAACCCCTTGGAATGTTCCGCCAGAGTTTCTTTAGAGAGGTTTTCGGCTGGTGTACTCCACTTCAAAAGTGACACATATTCAAGTTTATTTAAAAGATTTACGTTTAATTTCCTGGAGGTGATAACTAAACGATATATATTAGTTGACCATTAGTCTGGAATAACAGCGATAAACGGAGACCTGTAGTTCTTTGATCAAAACACAAAACAAAAAAAAGTTTTACAAATTAATTACCAAAGCATTGCTGTCTTCTTCTTCGTATTTTATGCTTTAATTTAGGCTGCATCATTGTAGCTGAAATCAAACACGCAATCATGAGGATTTTATTACTGTAATTCGACATTTCGTGAAATTAGACATTATTATAACCACGAACCAGTCGCACTGGAATAATCTACTATATTTTAGAGACATTGTCAGAATAGGTTGTTTAATCCATCTCGAAATTTCTTTTTGATTCCACTTTATGTCAAAATCCTGGAAATCGTGGTGCATTGCTTTCTCTCCATACTATAGTTAAGTTAACTAATCAAATATTATTACTTACTGAAAATCTACATCACTGTTTCGCAACTCTTGGGTGATAAATTGTCATTTTCGTTGGGACTAACAGTCCCAAAACCTGTGTACTCTCTCCGGTTACTTTAGCACCAGTTTTAAATGATATATTTATTTCTCAGTATGAACCAATTTCTTCCAGGTTATATATCATTAATTCATAGCATTTTATCGATATAAAATTAAATTATTTTTATACCATTGCTCAATAAGTAGATACCCCTCATAATAGTATCTATTTTTTTCACTTTCTTTAACATTTGTGGCGCTAATTTTAGTGTTTCTTAACTGCATGAGTGACAAGTTATTACTACTACGTACCATAATTTTTTATACAAAGTTTGTTATGTTTTGAACATATTTTCTATATGCCTAGCGGTTCGAATTCACTTTTAACTTTCCTTTCTTCTCCTAATCTTCATCCAAATGGGCATTCAAAAGACAGCAACCAAAACTGGCGCACAATAGTGCATGGTTAATGGTTGTACAAACTGAAACTAAAACTAATGATAAATTATTAATTGCAAGGAATGCCAAATATTACTTCACCAGGTTTTGAAACATATTTATTTGAGGTTTTGAGACACATAGGGGAACAAATTGATTTTGTAATAAATTTGAATAAATCATTACCTATTAATTGAGATAAATTTTTATTTAGCCTTAGAAGCTGCAATGTTAAAATAACTCAAACAACAGTTAGGCTAATTGATCAGTTTGAGTCAATGTTAAATCGAGGTCTTTTGATAGAATCCATTGGAGGTAAAGTCTGAAGGGTGTTCAGTTCTAATCAATCAATCAGTTTCATCTGAGCTGCTGTGGGAAGGTTACTTGGGTTTTCTACAAAGTAAATAATTCTCAGTATAGACCTTTGGCTTACGATTACCATATCTTTCCCAAGAGATATTTGCGAAATTGTATGAAACTTACGTATTGCACCCCCATTTTTAAATAGTTTTCAACCATAATTAATTACATGCATTGATTTATCTTCTGTCCTATGGAATTGGGAAGACCAGATGTAGTTAATGGCAGCCTATATATTTCCGTGAACCTAATGGTTTTGCATAGGATACTTTTAGCCAAGATGTTTGATCGCCTCCGAAAAAACCGCGATTTGGACACCGCGGCCACATATTTATACTTCTTGAACTCAAGAATACCACATATCTGCAGCAGAAGTATTTAGGTAAAAACAGTGCCTGTATAACGTTTATATGTGTGTATTACTGGATAAAGGACATAATTGTTCACTGAGCAAGGTACGTCATCATGGGGGGAATCGATTGTTGTTCCCATCTTCAAAAACGGCCCACGCAGTGACCGCACCAATCATAGGGGTATAAGCCTGATTCCGATAGCCTCAAAACTGCTGGCGTCCGTCGTTCTCCGCCGATTTTAAACTACGCGTGAGGAGCAGACCTGGTCGTGCCGGTCGTGGATGCATTGATCAAATCTTTACCCTCGGACAGCTGCTAGAGCACCGTCATGCTTATCAAAGACCAACGATCATTTTATTCTTAGACATCCGCGTGGTGTTCGACTCTGTCGATAGGACCGCACTATGGAACTGTTTGTTGAGGAATGGAGTACCTAAGAAGTATGTCGATCCTCAAAGAGTTGTATCGTCATACCTCAGGTCGGGTTAGGGCCTATGGCCAGCTTTCGCCACCCTTCGCCGTCTCCAGTGGAGTTCGACAAGCCTGCCCTATACCCCATTCCTTTTCAACTTTGTCATAGAGGATGTACTGCAGAATGCTTTGTCCGATCTAGCAAACGGTGGAGTCGAACTCCCCCCATGGAATAGAGTCCTTGACTTGGAATATACCGATGACATTGCCTTGCTTGGTGACAACACACAGGCGGTATAAAACGCTTTGAACAGCGATCGAGGTATCCAGGTATGGTATGTGCTTTGCATCATCAAAGTGCAAAGTGCTGGTACAAGACTTGCAGGAGCCTGTGCCTGTCCTCATCATCTGTGGTGATCAATTAGAAGTAGTCGAGAGCTTTAAGTACCTCGGGAGCTTCGCTGTGGCTGGTGGTGGTGTTGGGGACGAGATCACATCACGAATAGCGGAAGCTAGAGCAGCTTTCGCCAACCTGCGACATCTGTGGCGCCGCCGTAGTGTTCTGCTTTTTGGTTGCGAGACCTTGCCTCTACACGATGAGGACGCTAATTGACTTTCTGTATTTGACCACCGATGTCTCCGAAGCCTTGCTCGTGTCTGGTGGAAACACCGGGTGAGCAATGACGAGGTCCGTCGTCGTGTGTTGGGTGCGGATAGTCGTTCTCTAACAGAAGTAATCGCTCTACACCGCCTCCAATGGCTTGCGTATGCCTGCCCATGGACTACCTTTCCG